AAAAAAAAAAAAAAAAAAAAAAAAAGAGCAAGTGATAAGGCTTCTGAGGTTCTGAGTTGGTCACCTGCCCAGGGCATCTGGGGGCATGGGCAAGGGAGGAGACAGGGCAGAATCCCAGCCTGGCAGGCTCCTTTCTGCTATCTGTGGACCCAAGGCTGCAGGTGAAGGTCAAAGGTGCACCCACATACTCTGTGGATCCCTTCCTCCTGTCTCCTCTGCCACCCCCTACCTAAGCCCGGAAACTTCTCTCTGCCTACTTTCCCCCAGAAGCAACCTGGGCTGTGGCCTACCCATCTCCCCACACCTGTCTCCAGCACTGAACAGCAGAGTCCAGCTCTATGGCCTCAGCTCTGTGGCCAACCCTCAGGTACCAGCATGGCCAAGCCCTTCCTCTCCATGCTGCCTGCCCCTCTCCTGTGGCCCGCCCAGAACACAGCTTTTCCATGGGACCATTTTGCTGGGCTGGAGTGATGCCCAAGCAGCGCCTTACTCACCCTCATGGGGTACACAGTACACAGGGCCTTCGTCAGTGGTGTCAAACGAGGAGAAGGAGGCCCGAGAGGACCAGGATGGTGAGGGCTGCTCCAGCCCTGAGGGTGGCTCCAGGAAGCTGCAGTTGAGTGTGTTATCCAGGTCGTGGTGGGCCACTGGGGAAGGATGAGGCAGAGCTGCCACGGGTCCACTCTGCCCCAGCCAGTGCCCTCATTAGCCCCTGCTGTCACAAATGTTGATGGAGTGACCAAGACCAGCCCTACTCTCAGACTGCAGGGGGCACAGGCAACTCAACAGGTAGGGTGACACTGGACCAGGACTGGAGAATGGGTAGAGGTGAACCCAGAAAAGAAACATGAGCAAAACATGTGTTAAGGTGCAAGGCAAGTGTGTGCAGCCAGAGAGCTGGAAAAGGTTGGGCTGACATGTTGGGAAAAGGCCAGAAAGGTGGGAGACGGGGCTGAGACAGGCCACCAAGGCCTCCAAGCTGTTTTAGGCCCTGCCTTGTGGGACTCAGGGGAGCCTTGGAGCACTTCTGAGCCCAAATGCGCAGTGACAGGGCTGCATTTTTGGTTCAGCCCATCTCAGCAAGCTGCACCCTAGGCCTGGCCTTCAGAGATGCAGACCCCACAACAGGGAGCCCCAGAAGCTGGCTAGCCTGGCCTCCATTCCACAGAGGGATGTGGGGTCCACTCCCACACCTATGTCCCCAGATGCCATGCTGCTAGGTGGGCCAAGGGCTTTTTTTTTTTTTCTCCCTCCGTTTTCTTTTTCTTTCTTTCTTTTTTTTTTTTTT